CGATGTAGATGTCCAGTTACTGTATAGAACGTCCCAGAAGCCCTGGTAGCTAAGTTACTTGCATTTCTTGGAAATATACCAGAAGTAAACTTATAGGAATGGGAAAACTTTGAGGGAAAAAAGCCACCACCGGTTGCTACCTATCGGGTGCTCCAATATTTCGTGGAAATTAAAAAAAGGCATTCTGCGGTACCATGAGCTTCAAGATCCCCTTTTTAAATTTATAAGTGGTCCTTGTTTGATGGATGAAAGAAAAAGAAGATATAATTGTATTTGGCTTTTCTATATTTTATAGCCTAAAAGTAAAACACTCCCGGTGCTGAGAGAACATCTTTTTACGCTTTGCTTAAATTTTTAAAAATTGTTATTCTCTTGCCAGCAAGCGGTAGAGCGTTGAGTTCACATTTTTAAGTTTGTAGAGCAAATAACTTTAGAGGCGAATAAAACTCGTTTGATTACTTAAAACCCAATCAAAACAATTAATTTCGTACAGTATATTCACAATTACACTAATATAAGTTCAACTTGTATTTTCTCTTTAAAACTATTTTTTGTAAGCCTACAACATCACGTACAGATATAAAAAAAAACCAGATCAATTGGCACAGAGGTACAATATTGGACCGACTTCTAGAGTTTGCATGACCTGCTTCCATGAAACTATAAATACCGGCCCGTCATAGAAAAAATAACTTTTTTGGAGGTTACAATACCTTATCGATTATTATAACTATTAGTTAAAACTAATAAACTTCAGCTTCGTCTTGTAACCTTTTTAGATGTAGCCTGCGCACCTTTCGTTACTTTTAATAACTTCACTATAATTCCTTACTTTTCAAACGTATATAACTTCCTGCACTCAGAAGTCCTTGAAAAGTTCCCTATTAGCGAGTTTGCGATTTTTTTTTAATTTTTTTTACAGTATATAATGCTTTAAACACAATGAGGTCCTTTTACTTAGAAGCAAACCTACTGAAGAAAAACATAATCTACTGGCGTGAGTTTAAATTTAAGGGTCTCGAAAAATTATCTTTTGCTATGAGTGAAACTAAAATACGCATGAAACTCCCCCCTAAACAATACTATGCTCTTCAACTACTTAAAGACACAAGGTAAGAAGTCATATAGAACAGAAAGGTGCTTAGACTACCCCTAAGGAGTGCTATTTTGAAAAAAGCAGTAACATAACAAAAATAATAATAATAATAATACTAGTAATTAACAGTATTAAGAATATATCAACAATCTCAGTCAATAAAGTAGTAATAATTATAAATACAGTAATAATATTTGTACAATAGTAATGATGGTAACGACCATAAGAGAAAAATCAATAGTTGACAAGAATTCTGCTTTTAACAATAGTAATAACAACTCTAAAATAGACCAAGACCTAGATATGGCTTTAAAGAACACGAAGGCGACCTGGGCTCAGAGATGGATAATACCCCCACCATGCTTATGATACCACCAGCAGCACCGTCTAACCTTTGCAGCAACGCCTTCTGTGTGTTATATACAATTGAGGGGCGGCCGTTTGAGGGCGCAACCCTAATAAACATTAAGGGATGTCGTGCGTTGCATTCTTTCTTTTTTTTTTGTCGTTTGTTTTTGTAGGTGTTTGTTAAGTTGTAAGCGTTTGCTACTCAGGCGGCTAGGGGGGAATCAAATATATTAAACAGCTCTTCTTACATTTAACTAACCCTATATTATATTTCCTTGTGATATAATTTAACATATTACTCTAAATTTGTTTATAATATATTAGTTCTTAAGTTATCAAGTTTGTAAGATCAACAGAGGCGATAAAATTAAAACATTGCCTGTCAATCTCTGCGATATACAGAAGGAGCACCATTTTGTAAAACATCTGTAAGTCTACAACTCCGAAATTTTGGAGAACAGGGGCACATCACAAAATTAAGATTTTTCAGCAACAGTCGACAAATACCGGCCATAATTTCGCTTAGCGTAATAAAGCGCTACCCAGGGTTACCTATTATTTAGTAGAGAGAGCAAAGACTAATAGTGTATTCCTCGCGGAATCTATTGGTCTCAGCAAGTCTCCTCGTCTTTTCCTGGGGCAAGGTTGCTCATGGCTGGCATTGTTGTCGATAGTGAACGTACGAAGCGACCTTTACCTATGGTTTACGAACAACTCACTAAATTGCACTATTTATTTATTGGCAGAAGAATTTAGTTACGAACAATGAGACGGCGCACGCTATTGCTGAACCCGCAGGGGCCTTGAATTTGTGCCTGTAACTGTAATAAGGGTTTACCCAATTGTGCACCAGGTCGTTAAATATAAAAATAGTTCTCTAGCTTAGTATATAATTCAAGTTTTCTTGTTATCATTTATAATTTGTAATATATAAATTTTGTAATAAAGTAACCTATTTATGTTCTTAGAATTAAATACTAACACTATTTAATTTATAACTCAGAGCAGAGGTTTGGTTTGTGGTAATTATAATACTTTTTTAGAAATTATATTGCGTACAGTCGTATTATTTAAATATTAATTAAGATCATATACATGTGTTGACTATTCAAGAGTAAAAATCAAATTGTAAAGGATTACAGGAATCAATAACGTAGACAATAAAGTTCAATTCACTAAGACTATGGCAGTCAAAATTTTATTTTAGTTAGTTATCCACTAATGTACATTATAAGGCGTCCTTACCTTGTTAGTTTTTTCCTATATACTTTTTGGCTGAGAAAAAGTGATTTATCGACCAACAGAACTTAGAAAGTCAGCTAATAAAGTTAGTTGTTTTAACTGGCTTTAATTTATAGTAATTATTTTTTGGTTCCGAATCAAACTAATTGAATTTTTAAAAATCAACCTTGAATGTGTTTATTATTTGAACGATTACCTATTTTTCCTAAATAAAAGCCATATAAAACAAAAATTTCTAAAATCTATAAAATTATATTGCTAATGACTTGTAAGCTCTTTGGCTAAATGACGATTAGAGTGTTTGGCTAACCGATCGTAAAGGGCGACGAAATTGCATTTGAAGATTGTGATCAGCGCTAAAGTGTAACCTGCGTGTTGTGTATCTGGCGCACGATCCACGATGCATTTGTTAGCGGTTTGCTTTACCGCTCTTGAGCAGAGGATGACGATTACTGCCGAGTTGTAAAAAGACTCAGCTTGATTATTAAAAAAAAAATAGGTTTTTATTGATATTTTATTCCTTGTCGGTCAGCTCTTTTTTTACCTTTTCAGAAAGTGTAAAAATATTTTTATATTAGCATATAAAACATAATTGGAAACTTAATTGTTCAAAATATATAGTTTTTCTTCTAAGACCCCGTATACTGTTCAAAAAAAAAATTATAATTAAATTGCTCCCGAATTTGTAAAAATAATTTTGAGATGAGTTAGTTAAGAACTCCCTCCCCCCTCCCCCCACTTGCGTAGTCCGAGTTGCGCTCTTATAACAATAAAACTGATATAAAGTGAATAGCAAGTTTATTGAACTGATATACATCTGCATCCAAAAGACGAAGACATAGATTCGGCGTTCAGTTCGTTCGTATAATACATATATAATTATATAATTAACTACATATGAATGCGAGTGTACTAGGTTTTCCACGGGCACCCTTGCTAGACAGATGGAAAAATTTAAAAATGTGTAACTGGATAGGGGCTGATTGGTCTATTCTTGTATCACAAAATTATGTCTATTTCTTGTTTTATGTCCTAATTTGGTGTTTTCAATTTAAATCTGTCATTTAATATATTCTGTTGTTAATGGAATTCAAAAATTTCTTTTTCCAATTTGTGCAAATTTTTTTTTTTAAAATTTGCTCATTCCTTAAATTTTTGTATATCTGTATAAGTGTTTTTTTATTGTTGTAGGCTGCGTACGTCATAATCGACCTTACACGCTTATTGACAACGAAAAGCTTACTTTTGCTGCACGAGAGAGAATATACCGCCCGGGTCGCTGCCTACACTTACATGACGATATTCACGTGCGGATCTCTTGACAACTCAGATCCCTAAGGTATTTTCACCTTAAGACAACCACGAAATTCCCATGCTGTTGAAATTCAATGCGTATCTGTTATAAGAAGCATTTTCGCGGTGATAAGGAGGTCGTAAAGATGACACTAGCTACTAAGCACATCGAGATAAAGCTGTAGATGTTAACTTCGAATATTAATTTGAGTTGTTAAGATCCCGAACTTTATTTTTTGACTCCTTAAGGCGGGCGTCCGACTTATGGCAGAGTAAGAATTCAAACTTTACTCAAACATTTATTTCAAAGCTACACGTGGCAAAGAGAATAAAGATTACCTCTTAGATCTAATAATTTGATAACTGAAAATTGAAAGCTTGTATTAAGTAGTTAAACAAGCGGGAGAGACAACCGGCCCTCTTCCTTCGCTGCTTTTAAGTTTATGCCTAAAAGTTGATCTACCACTAAAGTCAGTTAAATATGCCTGCTCTTCCAAAAAACCAAAGATTCTGGGAGTTAGTTTTTTTTGTATATTAGTTTTTTTTTCCTACTTAGAGTTAATATGCTTTTTTACGTCAGTAATCCAGTCAAAAGGAAAAGAACGGGTAATAGGAAGACGGTTCCACGCACTTTTTTGCCTTTAGGCAACTTATATTATTAAATTACTAAGATTTAATATTAAACGGATTAATATTTTAGATGAGTTTGAATACTTCACAAAAGTTGAAAAACTTATGGATGAAAATAACTTTGATTGTGCTGAAGATAAAACTTTATTTATTGATAATGTTTTTAAAAGCATTGATGGCAAGGAATTAAAGCTTGTCACGGATAGAGGTTAGCACTTTTTTTAAAAAAAAAAAAAAAATTTGTAAAATTTTTTTAATTTTTATTTTAAGCGGGTAGCAGAGTTTGTGAAAAATTGTTAGCGATTGCTAATGATTTTCAAATCCGGGTTTTTTTTGGTCGTCTAGCGGAAAGTTACAAAGATTTATGCGTTGATAAATTTGCCTCGCACGTTTTGCAAACACTTTTACGTTTAAGTTTGCCTATTCTTCAGAGAGAAGTCGTTAATGGAGTGAATGTTTTTATTTTAACTTTTAAGGGTTTCAATTTTTCTCTAACAGTCGTTATCTTTGTATAGAACCCGGACGAAGCCAAAGATTATTATTCAATGCAGAAAATTATTAACTTTTTTCTTGAAGAATTGGTACTATGGTTATTTTTGTAAATTTAATTTATTTAATTATTTTTCTAAGTCTGAAGATTGGCTTTCCTTGGCGTATGACCCGTATGGGAGCCATGTTTTACGGGTTCTTCTCGGCCTTTTATGCGGCCAATTCGTCGATGAACGACTCGTTCGATCAAAATCATCGATTGGCTTTACTGAAGCTAAGAAGACGGCCTTGAAATGCGTCTCATTTTATTTTTTTTTATAATTTTATAAAATAAAAAATTTAAAAAAAGTGATTATGAAAGGTTTACTATTTTTTGGTAAACTTTTTATAATAAAATTTTTTTTAATTAGTTTTTCTTATTATTTTTACTTTTCTTTCTATCTTTTTATTTGATGTGTAAGCAGAGCTCAGTGGCATACAAAGTTCCTCCTGAATTTAAAGGTTTGTATGAAGATTTAGTAATTAGGATTGTGGATACATGTGATTTGGTGGATTTTTCTACTCATAGCATAGCTTGGTTAGTTTTTTGGATAAATTATATTCTTTAATTATATAATTTTTATTAGTATTAAATAAATTTACTTCTGCTCCTTATTTTTATTGCGCTGCTCTAAAGCCAAATTCCTTTTTTTAAAAAAAGCCCATCTATGTCAGCTTTTAGTTTTCTTATTAATTTATATCTTTAGTTTCAATTTGTTTTTGGTTTGATTTGTTTTTAGACTATATTTAATTACCTTTTTATACAATTTTTAACTAACATTATTATTTTACTGTTGATGGCAAACCGCAGCTACAAATGTACATGCGGCTTTTTTTTATTTTTACAAGTAAAAAATGGAGACCAATAGTTTAGGCAGACCGCACTTTCCTGTATTATTAGCATTCGTGAGATTATCGGAGACGGCAGTTATAAGCTTCTTAGATTCAGTTAATTTTTTGCGCGTGCCCTTTTTTTGGAGAGAGTGGAGATCTTTATACTATTACTTTGACTCGCTTTCAATATTTTAAGAGTAGAAGAATTAAAATAACGTTTGTTATTATTATAGTCACGTCGTTCAAGCACTGTTGATCCTTTCCAAAAAGCACAGTTATAAACAGCACGCTGCTATTATACAGAAGCTACTGCGGATCGGGACGACTGAAGCAGTGGACGCCGAGCACATTCGCACAACTTTTATTTTTCACCACGTGCGTGCTTCATGCTTTTGTGGGTTTCCTAAGGCTCGTTCGTGATTAATTTAATTTCTACGGTAGCTCGGAAGTCGAACTATGGAAACCGTTTTTTCTACAGTTAGTCACACCACTTATAGATCTTTGTATCTGAGTACATTTTTTTTCAGAATCCATATATGATTGGTTGTGCTGCTTATTGACTCTATATAGATGTCTTCCGCAATCATCTTCTGGAATATTCCTTGCATCCTGTAGGAAATTACGTGGTTCAGCATTTTATGAGGTGATGTTTTCTTTTTTTAATTTTTTTTTAATGTAATATTTTTTTTAAGGAATCTTGAAGATTCTGTGCTCAAAGAGCAAGTTGTTGGTGAACTGGTAAATACTATTGAAGATATTTTGGCCGTTGGACACTTTGGAGTTGTGGATGCCTTGACTGCTGTTACTATCGGGCTGGTGAGGAAAAGCTAATTAATTTTGTATAGTATTCTGGCGATTTCTTTATAATAAAAATGCAAGAGCGAGATTTACCAGAAGAAAGTAGTTAATTCTCTGTTGAAGGCTTTTCATTTGCAGGAGTCCTCCAAATTTAAATACAGTATTGACTAACATAGAATTGATTATTGTAGCAACAATATTTTTGTATAGCTGTGCCGTGTGTCCTCCGACTGTTGACTTTTGAAATGTACTCTTCTGAGGATGGCTCTACGGAGACCACTACTTACTTCGGGTTTTCTCGTGTTTGCCAGGAAAAATAACAAACCTGTATTATATTTACTGTAAAAGGGCTTCCATTCTTATGAATGCTTTTAAACTCCAGCAAAATGCAGTTGAGCCATTGATTCAAAGTCTGCTGACGATGGAACCCGACGAGATTCTGGCTCTCTGCAAAGATCCGCACGGTATAGCACTTTTCTCTGCTGACCTGCTGAGCATCTCTGTATAGGCCTCCTCAGGCTCGTTTGTGATGGAAGCCTTTCTGACCTCCCGGATCGATCTGCCGAGGAAAAAAAAGATTTATAAGCGTGTGAAAAACCAGCTCGCTCGGGTCCTGTGTTGTTATAAATATATTAATTGTTTCGAACTTTTTTTTAGTTGGCCATGGATAAGTATGGCAGTCGAGTATTGGAGGCCATTTGGGCCAGCGCCGACATCGCTTTCAAGGAGTTTATAGCAGACTCGCTGCTTGGCGAAGAGCAGCAGATTTCTTCCAACATGTACGGAAAAATTGTGGTACGAAAGGGGCTTCACTGTATTACTTGTTTAAGCCTTTCACCATCATTTTTTTTATATAGATGAAGAAATGCAATATTGATTTTTATAAGCGGAAAAAAACGGCGTGGCTGGAAAAGCAGGAGGCCAACCAGAAAAAGCAGGAACTGTTTAAGGACATCTTGGAAGAGACTCCTGATTCTTCTGGTTTTTGCTACAATTTTATAAGTGCTTAGAGTTTTCTTAAGAGCTTTTTCGGTTAGACAGCAAACTTGTACAGAATAAAAGAAAAAGAGGTCCCGCAATTTTGCATCTTTCTTGCTCGTAAGCGTCTTTCGGGGATTGTTTTTTTTTTTTATTTTAGCGGAGACCCCTTTGGCCGACGAGATAGACAAATTGTTTACTTCCAAAAGAAAGACTAGGAATTCTGCCGTATCCCAGAGATCAACTTCGCAGAATCCTAAAATCAAGGAGGAAGACTTGGCACTGCGGGAAGAGCTCTCCAGCGTTGATCCGTTTGCGCTTGATATGAAACTGACCATTAAGAATATAAAGAAAAAGAACAAAAAGCTGAAGAGGGAGAAGCCCTCGAAAAAGTTTATTATGTCCTGATCATAACGAAGAGGATCCGAAAGTAAAACTTTATCAGAAACAATTTTTTCTCTTGCCGAATTTCAATGTGTGGTACGCTTTTATAAGATGGGTTTATTCAGGAATGCTGGAAACCAGAAGCTGATAACCCCTTCATTTTTATCAATCCAACAAAAACCTTCTTTTATTAAAAACTCCTGACAGTATATATTCTAAGTTATTGGCAGGAAAAAAATAATAATAAAAAAGTTATTACTAAACTTGTGGCAATTCTGATTTTTTCCCACCGCAAGTTTTCTTCTAAAATTTGTTCCGTTATAAATCCCAATTTCTTAATTTTGAATATTTTATTGTTTAGTATAAAAAAGTTAATTTTTTTTAAAAAGCGTAACAGTTGCCAGGTTCAGAATGGCAGTGTGGTCGTTGTTCAGCTCGGTAGGGACGGACCTTACCAGCTCCCTCTCGTTTAATTTTACTATCACAAGGTCTTTTCCGAGTTTCTTTAATAAAGCAATCAGAATAGTACTGCAGAGTAAATAAATTTCAGTAAAGTTGCCTCTAATTTTTTTTATTGCTCTTTTACAATCGCTTATGGTAGGCTGTTGCGCGTGTTTGCTTCTTATGGATATAACAGCAGCAAGAACATCTTTTAAATCCATTATACCTTCAATATAGAAACGTATTACTTTTCTAAATAATTAATAGATTTTATGTAATTACCTCCGTTACTCTTTTGGGAAGCAAAACACACTTGTACGATATGCACTGCTAATTCGTAGTAATAATCGCCTATACCTAAAAATTTAGCCCTTAAACAAAAAAAATTTATTATTTTTTTACTGCTTAGAAAATAAAAAGAAGTTTAAATACCAAAAGGCTTTGCTGGAAGCCAGTGGATCTATCCCACAATGAGAACACATTCGGAGAAAGTAAGTTCTTAACTCCGGATTCTTTATTATCTCATGTCTGTGATTTCTATAAACACTTTTAAAATTAGTAAAAAAAAAATAAATTTTTTAAAATTATTAAACTTTGAAAAGGTTTCTATCTGACTTTTAAATAGTTCCATTTGTTCGGTCATCTTGAAATGATAGTCTAACTTTGAAGTGTAATTTTGATAATAAAAAAACGGTACCGTTTTTATAGACTCTTCGTTTATTGTTTTACCTTCTTTGTCCATAAGCGACTATTGATTTTTCGAAAGTAGTAGGGTAAAAAGAAGTATTATTGTCATTCGAAAGAAAAACAATAAGTAGCATATGTTTATAAACCTTTAGCTGTTGCTTATTTTGAACGCCAATAACACCAGGCCTATTTCTCATTATTGTTTTTTTTTGGCGAAATGCTTTTTATATAAGAAATGAAAAGATATATGTGCTAAACAACAACAGCGACGACCGGGTTTGCCTTTTATTTTTCTATGGAGGGCGTGCGCCGATATTATTTTCATTCAGGCTTTGTTAGTTTTTAGGTACGAGTGTGTGGAACTAGGGAAAACTAATTGTTGCAACGTGAAGTTTTGTAGGCCATTCACCTACAATTATAGATATAACGTTGTGCGCAGTATTGTTTGAAGTTATATTTTATCCTTAGCTGAGAAGGTATGGCGGTTGACTGTCTTATAAGGTACTCAGAATATATGCGTACCTTCGAACACTAATACTGTCTTAAAGTTTTGTTATTCCAAATACGCATACGTTCATGGGTATTTGAGTTTTATATATGTATGGTACTTTTTTGTGTTCGCTAGTTTTGTTTTTACTGTGTTTATAATTTTATCTCAAATTCGTTAATAGTGAAGTTACATAATGAAATTCGACATAGAATGTGAGCTAATATGCCACTTTAGTAAAATATAAAAACAATACAGCGATAGTGAATTATTTATATAGCTTAGTTTACATATTTTACATGTTCTTTGTGGAGCTTTTAAATAATATATCAACTGTAGTAATGGATTACTTTTAGCCCCATATCTGCTTTGATAGAAGTGAAACCTTTAACTTATAAAGGTCATCTATGTATAGACCATGTATGTTTTTATTTACAATTATTTTTGTGGTTATAAAATATTTAGTGTATTTTTGTTATTTTTTAAAATTTTCTTACACTCGTAGCTTTTTCCACTGTCTTTGTTTCCTAGCTTAACCATTAGACTTTATTGCAAATACTTCACACCTGTTCACTAAATTAAAAAGTAAGAAGAGCTACTAACGTTTGGTTTAGGTACTGCTATCACTACTTACTTATATTCAATGTTTTTCTTAAGTGCTAACCTTAATATATATATGTCTCACATGTATTTTATTTAGAAACGCACACTTGAGTTTTTCTTATTTTTTTTTTTAAAGTTTTTTATAAGAAATATCAGGTGTTGTATAACATTTTACATAATAAAAAAAATTTTTTTTCGGTAAACGTTACGTAAAAGATTTTTAAATACCGTAGATAGAATAAGAAGAGTTGTGCTACGGAATCATATTTGCACACCACTAGTTTTTCTATAAAAACGTTTTCAAGAGATTCTGTTTTTCATAACTTCATCGTCCGTAAGCCGGTTGATTTTTTTTTTAAAGTTTTCTTTGAACCAGCCTTTCCACCTCTTTGACAGGAACTCTAACCCCTTCTCTCCCTTTCCTGCTATTAGAATGCCGTGTAACAAACTAAAAGTCATGCGCTGAGAACTATCAAAGTGTTTACAATTTTGTATAAGCTAACATTAACTTCAAGCTCTAATGGAGAAAAAAAATTTTTTTCTAAATTAATATTTCAAATTATAAGATACTGACTGTAATGCCCTCTCAACTTGCTGAGTAGCTACAGGGTTAACTTTTAGGTCCAAACAGCTCTAATTACGATCCAGAACTTATAAAATATAAATTCCTGCAGAAAAAAAATAATTTTGCTTGGCTACTTTCAAATAAATTTTTGGTTATCTTATTATTACGTAACTTTTATTTATAATTTAGTTGTCAGGTTTAAGTAAAGATTGGTTAATACTTACTAATTATAAGGCTACTATATATTTAATATAAGTGGTTTAAGTGTTTCAAGCAAATGCGAAATGTAACAATTTATTTTTATAAAAATTTTTATTATTAAATCTCGTTATATAAAGTTTAAGGAAGATAGTTAATTTTAAAGTATCACACTATTGTTTAACAAGTTGCAATAGAATGTAAGCTTTTTAATCACTACGAAAAAGTCGCCAACTGTTTTTTGGTTTTTACAATTTGTTTAGAAGAGAGAGCAGTGTCAGGAATCTTTGAGGGCACGTCAGGAAGAGTAACCTTTAAAATAAATAGATGGTCGTCGCGTAAAGTGCCAAAAAGTTAAGAAATTATGCATCTATTACTTCTTGCGAGCTTGTTAGCAGGGACTCAAGTTCAGAAGTAATTTCTGCCTCGTCTTGAGGAGACAAGCTTTGTCCTAATATTTCTTCGACTTCCTATATAAGAAAAACCATAAACGTCAACCCTGAATAAATATAGCAACCTCTGCACCTTTTGGTATTTAACTGCCTCCGCCGTCTCATCAATTAACTTATTAATCTTCTCTATAGACAACTCGTTATTTAAAAGTTGAAGAAGCCGGTTACCTTCTTTTAAACTATCAAAAATTTTTCTTTCAATCATTGAAAACTCTATGGAATTAATCTAACTAATTATAAGCTGTAATAAATTAGAAAATATTTTAAAAAATAAACCATTTCCTCAATATTTGTTAGAATTGAGAGGGATTTATTATGTAGTTGCTCTTGCATCTTCTTCTTTTTTAAAATTAGTAATGCCTAATGTTTACCTTCATATACTTTGAAAAAAATATTAAAAAAAAGGGAGAGCACTTTATCTTTATTTCCTACGGCTAAGGCTTCTTTGGCCATGTTGACTTCTTGGGAGAGGACAAGTTGAAGCTTAAATATAAGATTTATTATCATTATTTGGAGAAATATATATACTATGTAAACATCACAAAAACTATTGCCTGCTTTGAATAATGGTGAAGCTTATCTCGTTGGAATTTCAGATCTAAGATAGCTTTATCGCTAGGAGATAACTTCTTGCATTTAGGAGAGATTTTAGATAATCCTAAACCCATAATTTATATAATAATAGTAAAAGATAATACTCCTTTAAAAACAAGTTTTGGATTAGGCC